TCTTGATTTCATACAAATGCTTGAATTCTAGTGGACATCTTGCAAAGTAAATAGTCCATTGCCACATATGGCTCATAGCTGCTGTATTAGGCAATATAGAAATACAGGTTTGGAGAAAGCTCAGAATTCATCCTTTCCAGCTGACAAATATTCTTCTATAAATCAATGCCAATACTGATAAACTAGCAATTATTTTAAAATAATCCAGGAATCTAGAATATATAAAGAATTCAAGACGATCAGCCCCCCCAAATATAAAGACCCAATTCAAAAATGGGCATCTGAAATGAACAGACATTTCTCAAAGAAGTAAAAGCAGCAAGTAAATGTATGAAAAAATATTCCACATCAATGGTCATTCGAGAGATACAGATGAAAACAACACTGAGATTTCACCTCACCCCACAAAGAATGGCTGCTATCAAGAAATCACACAATAAAAAATATTGGTGGGGTTGTGGGGAGAAAGGAACCCTTCTCCATTGTTGGTGGGAGTGCAGACTGGTGCAACCACTATGGAAGTCAGTATGGAGATACCTCAAAGAACTAGGATTAGAGGTTCCATTTGACCCAGCCATCCCTCTGTTGGTTATCTTTCCAAAAGAATTAAAAGAATCATACCACAGTGATATATGCATACCCATGTTTATAGCGGCACAGTTTGTAATAGCTAAAACTTGGAAACAGCCCATTTGCCTATCAGTTGGAAACTGGATAAAGAAGATGTGGTTTTTCTATAAAATGGAATACTACTCAACCATAAAGAATGAGAAAGTAGATTCATTCATAGGTAAATGGATACATTTTGAGGATACACTCTTAAGTGAAATAAATAAATCACACATATGTAAATACCAAATAGTTTCTCTGGTGTGAAAAACTAAAATAGTACTCAAGATCCTAACGGGATAACTAGCAATGTGAAATAGGAAGAAAAGGACTAAAGGTGTAGGGACAGTGAGAAGGGTAGGAGAAGGGGACTAAGGGAAAGGGAAAAAAATATGAGAAAATGTAAAAATGGAATTAAAGTGTTTGTAGGTGGGGAGGGGAGGAGGGGGTGAAGGGAAGGTGGGGACAAGGGGAAAAAATGAGAACCAAGACCTGCCATGTAAAGGTACAAGATCCCTAATGAATTTAACTGTACTGTCTACCTAGAATGTACCAATAAATTCAATTAAAACATAATCCAGGAAATTAATTTAACTTTAAACAAGGCTATTTATAGGTATTTTACACCTTAAAAGTTCTGGAACTCAACTTATTGCTTTCCTTCAGTTCACAGCAATGATTAATAGCAAAGTAGGAGAAGGAGTATGTCTAATATTCAATGTGTTTTTCTTCTCCTGAAACCTATTTTCTCAGTTTACGTTTATCATATGCTTACTAGATAATTGCTTACATATCTGAAAATAGCAAGATCACCTTGCTGGTAACCCAGCCATCTCCATCCCTATCCCCAGCTCACAGTCACTTGCTAAGACTTTGACAGTAGATCCTTCCTCCCCTTTGGCTAAGACTTCCATGTGCTCTGTCAGTTTTCCCAGTGTGAAACAGAACTCAGAGGAGGTGGCTGTGAAAGTTCCATCCTGTAAGTACAGTTTACTAATATTCATCCTGCAAGATTTATGCACATTTATTTATCTATAACTCTCTGGAGTTTGCACAAGAGTTTATATAAACTGCAAAAACATAAATTTATCAGTGATTTTTTAATGACTTATGAGAACATAAAATTTGGAGCACAGCAAGTCTGTATATAAAACCTTAGCTGTTGAACTGAAAATCCTGAGAGACCTAAAGTACTTGGAAACATGCACACCAAGAAGGTTCCTCTAAGGGCCTGTTACACCCAGAGGAGAAGCTGCTTTCCTCACCTTGTTTGACTGCCATTTTGGCTTAACCACTGTGAGGGTCCTTCTGCTTCCTAGGAGAGTCCATTCGGGTACTCAAGATCATGACACACGTAGTTGGCCATAGGACTAAAACTTGAGTTGTCACAGTTTCTGCCACCACTTTTGAGTCCGTGAGGGGATCAGGAACAGGCAGTTTTGAAGTATATACACAACCAGCTCAAAATTGCTCAGTTAATTTCTTTCAGGCACAGCCAGGCAATTGAAGAAGTAACTAGGTTACAGAGGAGCCATTTCTTCTCCAAGTCTTTGTAGATTTGTAGATACAGTGTTAGTCATTACATTTGACCATAGGCCAAGTCATTTCAAATTCTTTAAGAAGGCAGTTTGGCAGATGTTAAGAGAAAAGGGGCAACTTGCTTTTATGGAATTCCTTGAAATAGAACACTTTTGAATCCAGTAAAAAGAAAAAAAAATCAGTATTATTTATAGTCACATAGTATAACAGCAACAATAAGTAACCCTTAGATACCACCTCCTCTGTCTGAGCACTTTTAAAAATGCCTCATGTAGAATTTATTTGATTCTCACAGCTACACGTGAGCTAGGTATTGCTCTCTTATTATTCGGTGCAGGAAACTGATTCCAAAAAGGTTGCGTGATTTGCCTAAGGTCATGAAGCTAATAACTGATGAAGTTGGGATTTGAGTCCAAGCAGGCTAACTCCAGAGTTACTTCCCTTAATCACTGCACTAAGTAAATATCCATGTGCACAACGAATGGATCCCTGAAAAGTACCTAAGAAATGAATTCATATTAAACCCTGTACATGTTTGAAACACTCTAGTTCTCCAGGGAATCCTTGTGAAAATTCCTGTGACATTATAAGCTTATACTCCGTGGTTTTTAAAATAATTGATTTTTAAAATATCGGCGCTACCTAAAGTAGAGAACATTTGTAGAAAAAAAACTTCGTTGTACTGTTCGAGAAAAATGTACTGAATACATTAATAAAGGAATAGAATATTCTGTGATTGTATATTTGTCATAGTGAAGAGTTCATAGGTAAGAATTAAATATTGACCTGTGTGTTGCTCTTAGCTGTTTAAGCCCTTGTGACACTGGCCATAGTGACACAACACTGATGGGATGAATGAAAAATTCAGGTACAGGAGGACTTGCAGAAGCCCTCCACAGTGCTCTTCTCTGTTTCTGTTTTCTCTCTGTAAATTCCCAACTTACATCTTATTCCAAGTGCTCGATTTTTGCATTTAGCCTCCCCAGGGTTTAAAACTCAGTTTTTCCTAAATAACTCCTGAATTTGCTCAGCTCTCGGACTCTCAAATGCTCAGAGTCAAGTGCTGCCTGGGCAGGTACCGAGTACTCACGTGAATTCTGACCCATAAAACCCAACCCTCCTCTGACTTCTTTGACTTATTTTTGTAACGAAATCTGCTGATGGAGTGTCGTATTCAGAATGCATTTTTCTTAGCCATCTCTCTGGAGGTTCATATGGCCTAATGGCTCCCCACCCACTTGACATTTTGCCCATCACATTATATGTTTCTTCCAAAGAACAAAAATATAACTCTTTTTCTGACAGCATGGGAGACATTCTCTTGCTGTTGCTCTCCAGGAAAAATCTCATAATCTAACTAGACAAACTCTTACTGACAAATTAGACCAAATAACATTTGTAAACTCCAAGGAAAGCATTTTTCTCCTGTGAAGTATTTTTTAGCTGGAAGTGTTAGTGACTTTACATATACTGATACCAGTTAGGTTTATGGAAAAAATGAAAAACGAAACAGCTGGATACACTGTTAAAACTGAACCCTAACAACCTAATTTTTCCCTAGCCTTGTATACTGAGAAAGTTGGAGTATTCTTAAATATAAGATGAGTAAGAACCATTAATTGATTTTTACTAGAAGAAACCCGCTAGCTTGCTCCTTTTGTCTTATTTGGTGAATTCAAATGAAGGATGTAATATTAGACAATATGTTGGGATCATGTGCCTGTATGCTCTCTTACTGTGCTCTTATGTAGCTAAATCAATGCACAGTTTGCCTGTGCCTGACACCATGGGTGTTTATTTTATTTTTGACTCATGATCTAAACCCATTACACAATGAAATATCTCATCTAGAGAAACAAATATGATCTCCCTCTTTTGGGTTACCAGGGAGCCACGAAGAAATAAAGGTCTGCAGTGTTTATTTTCAGCATCAAAGCAAATAAAATGTTAGGTTTCTTTTGGCAATTCATCCTGCACAAATGAGATTTTTCTGTACAGAGTACTTGTACTTCTTATTTGACACTCTACTATCTAATTTATTACAAACTTCTCATGCCTATATATTTTAGAGAATAAGTAGTGAAGGAATAAGCATAGCTAGTAACTTATTTAATAAACTTTTAGTCTCTGGGTCAATACAGTTGCATAAATAAAATGTTGAAGCAAAAATGAATTAAAGTATCTTCATCTATGGTCGATATTGAATGTAATGAATGTCATTGTATGTGTGTTTCTTCTTCGTCTTTATCTTCTTCTTCTTTTTTGGTTCTGGGATTGAACTCTGGTCCTTGCACTTGTGAGGCAGGTACCGGAATCACTGAGCTAAATCCCCAGCCCTGTATGTGTGTCTTCTTAATTGTCTTTTAATGGAATGTATGAATTGGACATTGAGTCTAATACATCTTAGAGAAACATACATTTTTTATTGTTCTGAAAAGGCAATTTTTGACCTAAAGAGACACTTGCTCATGTTATGAGTGCCATGTATTAAAGTGATTTCTTATCTGTGCAACCCACAGGCTACCATGATTTTCATTGGTATAGTGAAATTTTTAGAGCTCAATGTATCTGGATGCTTGAGTGAGTTAATTTCTGCCAATTCTAAATTTTCATAAGTATATAGTGTAGTTTTATGTCATTTGAGATGTTGTGATACATAGTAGACCTAATACAAGCAATATATTTATACAGTATGTAGGACATAATGATTATTAAAAGATGGTTATAATTACATATATATTCTATATATTTGTTTATCCATTTATCCTTCACTGAACACTTGGGTTACTTCCACCTTTTGTCTGTCATAAATGATGCCGCCATGAACATGTGTTTATAAATATTTGTTTTAGGCTCTGCTTTCACATCTTTTGGATATGTACCGAGGCACGAGATCATATGGTGGATCATCTGGTAAGTCTATGTTTGATGTTTTTCAGGAATCTCTAAAGTGCTTTCCACATCAGTCCCACTGATTTGTATTCCCATCAGCAATGTATCAGGGTTCCCATTTCTTTTTGCCCTCACCGATATTTGTTATTTTCTGGATATTTCTTTTGTCTTGGTGGCCATTGTGGTGGGTATAAATTGGTTTTTCCTTGTGGTTTTGATTTGCATTTCTATGTTGGCTGGTGATGTTTAGCATCATTTTTTTGTGTGTTTATTGGCCATATGTGTTTCTTCTTTGTAGAAATGTCTATCCTGTTTTGCCCATTTAAAAATCTGGTTTTGTTTTAGAGTTGTAGGATTTAAAAAATATGTATTTTTTATGTTACATATCTGAGATCTGATTTTTAAGTGTTTTTTTATTTTCATTCCATGGGACACCTTCTACTCTGATGATAGTGTCTATTGATGAACAATAGATTTTAATGTTGTAGGTTAACTTATTTTGTTGCATATTTCTGATGTCATTTCAAATAAATTGTTTCAACCCTCTCTCCTCAAAAAAAAGAAAAAAAAAAAGTTGTGGCCCATCTGTTTTCATTGGTGAATTGTATCGAAAATTAAGGCAGAACTAGTACCAAGATTATGCATAATCTCTCAGAAATAAAGGAGGGGAGAACATACAATTTTCTGTAGCCATTTTTAACCCAGATACAAACAAAGGAATAATTTTGAAAGATGTACACTTTGGCAAAATATTATGAAATGGAATGCAGAAATGAGATAATACATCATAACCAACTTGGATCTATTCCTGGAAGGCAAAGTAAGCGCTTCACAATTAATCTGTGTTATTCACAAAACCACAACAGAGAGAAGAAAAAAACATGTTGATTTAAATAATGTAGAGAGATCATTGACAAAAACCTAGAAGCAATGTCAGAATAACAGGGAACTTTAATCTGATAAAGTGAATCTGGAAAATCTGCAGTTGTCTATGGCCATGCCCCTTGAACGTGCCCGATCTCATCTGAAAAATCTACATCATGAGTAATGGGGAAATAAAAAAAATACCTTTACTCTAAAGTTGATAAGTCTACAAAGTTATCCACTCTCACCTCTTTTAATTATTATTTTACTGGACAGTGTACCTAAAGCAATACAAGAAGAAAATGAAATAAAAGAAATATGGATTGGAAAGGAAGCAGTAAAAATCTGTAGATGATATGGCTGGGATCCCCGAGTATCCTAAAGAGTATGCAAGATGACAGTAAGGCCTAATGGTGAATTCAGCAAGTCACAGGATGTACTGTCACTATGTCAACTAAAATGTGTTTTTACAGGATAGTACAACATTGGAAAAATGATTTTTAAGATTTCACTTAAATAGCATAATGAAACAAAAAATACCTAGGAATAGCTTTAGCAAAATGCACGAAAATCTCTACAAGTGATTTAAAAGTACCTAACTATATACAAAGTGTTGGTGTATTTACTGATTAGCAAGTTTAATAATGTTGCGAAGTCAAGTTATTTCTAGAATGATGTACAGATTTTATGTACTTCTAGCTGAAGTTTCACCAGCCTTGTTTGTTCCAGATAGATAAGTTGACTGTAAAATTTATTTAATTTTGTATTTTTTTTTTGGTTGTAAAACTAATAATTAAATATGCTAGTGGTAGAATGTCCAAAGCAACCTTGAGCAAAGAAAAAGAACAAAGTTGGAGGATTCACATTATCTGCCTTCATGATTTGTTACACAGCTACAGTGATCAAAACTTTGTGGTAATTGTATATGGTAGAAAAACAGATCAGTGAAACAGAATTAAACATCCAGAAGTAGAAATTCACTTATACATTTGCCAACAGAGAGAGGAAAAGTTCTTTAAGGAAATGGCACCAGAATAACTGGAACGTCACTCCCTACCTCACACCATTCACAAAAATTAATGTGAAATAAGGCACAGACCTTATTTGAAAACAAAGTAAAATTAGAAAAGTTTCAGAAAAAAATAAAGGAAAATGGGCAAGGAGTAGTCAAGAGTTTCTTTCTGGGTGTGGTGATCCATGCCTGTAATCCCAACACTTGGGAGGCTGAGGCAGGAGGATCACTGCAAGTTTGAGGCCACCCCAGGCTCCATAGTGAGTTCAAAGGCAGCCTGAACAACACAGTGAGATCCTGTCTAAAAAAAAAAGGAATTTCTTAGGCCACAGAAAACAAAAAAACATAAAAATTGGTAAATTTAATCAAAGGTGAGAACTTGAACTAACCTAAAGACATTCTTAGGAAATTGACAAAAGGTTGGTATTCTAGATATATGAAATATTTCTATAGTTCTGTAAAAAAACAACTTCAGTAACAACAGGCAAAACCCTCATACACTTTACAAAGGAAAATAGACAAATTGATAATAGATACATGAAAAAAAAAGTCTTTAACATCATTAGTCATCATAGAAATGTAAACTAAACCACAGGGAAATGACTTCGCTAGATGCCTAAATTTGAAAAGACTAAGAGCAGATTTTGGTGAGGCTGTAGAGCAATAGGAACTCTGAAATTTTTGATGAGTGTAAAATTGTGCCCACCACTTTGGACAAATGTCTGGAAGTTTCTTATGAAACTAATATAAATCTATCATGAGACCTACAATTTTAATTGTAGGTATTTTCCAAAGAGAAATAAAAGCCCATGGTCCACAAAAAACACACATACACTTAGAAGTGCAAGGTCTCAAGTTCAATCACAGCACAAAAACAAAAAAACTCCACAACACACACAGTACAACAATGTTCATAGCAGCACCATTCAGAATAAGCAAGAGTAGAAATAAAGTGGAATAAATAAATAAGTGGAGAAAAGGTGTCCATTGAAATAAAAGTAAATAAACTGTGGGGTCGTAAAGGGAATACTTGTCAGTCTTGAAAAAGAAAAAATGTACTGATTCACAAAACAACATAGAATAATCCCTTAACCAGTGTGGGAACATTGAGGCCATACTCTTAAATGAAATTAATAAGTCACACATGTGTAAATACCAAATAGTTTCTCTGGTGTGAAAGACTGGAAGTGTAAATAAGGATCAAAATGTATAATTGATGTTGTGTAATAGGAAGAAAAAGTCTAAAGATGGAGGGGACGTGGGAAGGGTAGGGGAAAGGAAAGGAGGGAAAAGAAAAATATGTGAAAAGGAAAAACATGGAAGGGAGGGTGAAGGGAGGTCTGGGGAATGGGGAAAAATAAGAGTCAAGGTAAGTCTTGTAAAGGTACAAGATCCCAATGATGAATGTAACTGTATTATATACATAAAATATACCAATAAACTTAATAAAGATAAAAAGAACAATCCCTAAAAAAACTTCACAAAAGAGTATCAACTGAAATTAGTTTCATTTATATGATGTTCTTAAACAGTCAAAACTAGCTTGGGATAAAAATGCATCAGCAGAGGGCCAAGGGTTTCACTCAGTGGGTCTGCTCCCTGCCTTTCAGGTGCAAGGTCCTGAGTTTGATCCCCAGTACCCCCCCAAAAAAAATATATATCTGTGTAGATAGATCAGCACAGGAGGAACAACATTGGGATTGACCAGAAAGTGGCACAAGGGAGATTTTAGGAATGTTGGTAATGTTCTACATCCCAATGTAGTGAGCATTATATGGGTGTGTACATTCATCAGAGTGAATCAGAAGGCACATTTAAATCTGTATATTGCACTGGGAGGAAACTGTGTATGTGCAACAATGAAGAAATTGAAGTTTAGGAGTGAAGTTTACTGGCATTGCCAACTAATTTGAAATGCATCAAAAGATAAAAATAGATTAATTAAAGGACAGAGGGATAAAAGATGTATGTATCTGATAAAAGGCAAAAACTGTATAACAAAATGTGAACTACAAGCTTTCAGTAAGGGGGAATGGGTTTTGATTGGCTATTTCTCTTGGTTTTTCTGTAGGTCAGAACATTTTCATAGCAAAATGTTGCAGGAAAGGTAGTTATATTTGTGTTCCATATTTCCAGGATAAAAATGATTTCATTTCATAGGTATAGACATTGAAATCTTATTCCTTAAAGTCCCAAGTTGTTAAATGACAGAGCTATTATCACAATCCAGGTGGCTCCAGTCTTCCAACCCTTATTCTTCCCACATTACTGTACAAGTTTCCAAGGCCAAACACCCAGAGCCCATGTGGTAGATAGAATAGGAGTAAGCATGAAACCTCAGCTTTTCTTTGGATCTCTGCGAGGATTCTGCAGCTGTTGATGCTTAATAGACTGACCCTTTCTAAAGCAATATTTTTCCAGAGGGAAGAAATACAAGTCATCGTGTTATTGAGCACACATTTATTACGAATCCATAAAAGACACCGTGATTAAATAACTTTTAAAGTATGACTAGTTTACAATTATTTTTCTTCCTATGTTTATGCACTGGGACTTTTAGATGCACAAATAAAAAACAGAAGACCACATATTGTGAAATCATGCGCCTGTGCCTGTGTGTCTTTTGTCATTCAGCAACAGCAAAAATCTTCCCTTGTTCTAGCAGAAATTCGTTAGAGTCTTACAGATGATGAGCACGTGTCCTGTCATCAGCCCACACAGGGCCGGATTACTGAGCACTGTCTTGGCAGAGAGAGTTTAGGGCTGGGCGCACAGGGATTAGGACTCGGATTTCAGCCTGACCTTTCACTTGTTCATGTGACTTTGTACACAACTCCCTTCAACTGATTCCTCCGTGCTACCCTTTGACACTGCTTTCCTTATTAGTATGAAGATAAAAATAAGGCAAATCTCAAAGTTTAAAGGACATTAAAAGATAATCAAGCCCAAGAAAATGGAAATCTAGTCCTTTGCTTGTAGTGATAGGGCTAAATAGAAGCAAAGCCATGCCTTAAAACAAAGTGTTCCTGACTTGCAGGTTAACACGAGGCTCTGTCTGCTGTCCCTCTTTAGTCCTTATAGAAGCACTTTAAGAATAAAAGTACTACCAGGATGCAAGGTGTTAAGAGATATTTCTTTAAACTAG